GCGCCGTGCGACGGTACTAATTCCCCCCGGCTATTTACACCCGGGGAAACGAAAGCATTAGCGAAGTCTAAAGTTTATCAAACATCGCGGGCGTCGGTCACCAACGATGGTGAGTGATCTCTAAAATATGGCTGATTGCGTGTAGGACTGAGATGAGCAAGATTTCAATTTTAAAAGACATATATTTGGAAAATCGTTTCATATACAACAAGCTTAATTGAAGCAATTTTGTTTCAAGAGATGAGAAGAATAGATTTACTATGGCAAATCGTGAAATATACGACAAGTTTCCTCTGAATATTTATGTTTACGAATTTTGTTTCTTTAATTAACTTTTTGCCTAAAAACATGAACTGTTTTCCTTTTCAACGAAGCTCTAAGTTTCATAAATTACCGTTTAACTTGAAGAAAAATCTTAAAATGTAAAGGAGAACAATTGATTTGAAGACTAAACTGAAATTACCTAACAATTTGTTTTATTTGTAACTTATTATGTTTTATATTTATTAGTTTATCGGCAAATGAACTATAGTTGAATGAAGATTTCAAAATATTTTACGAAGCGTTTCAAGTTAAATTTTACATTAAATCAAAGCGTACAAAATGCAAAATAATATACCTACAGTTTATAATATGGAAATTTATTGTTGTATAGTTAAAAGTACGAATCTTTGAACTATTTTGCAGTTTTGTACAAAAAATATGAAAAATTAAAAATGTAAGAATATCGTGTTGTCATGTCAACACTTGAGCGCGAGCCTGCGTTCAGTGGGCCATTTCAGAGGGGTTACTGCATGCATGTATTTCTAGTATAAACTTATGACGTAATTCCGTGCGTCTGTCCTCTATAATAGATCATGGCTCTCGACCAATGAAATCGCATGAATTCTTAAGGTTATATTATATAAAATCTTATAACTATTATATACTGGTATAATCCTTACATGTAAGTCACTGCAGTAAATAATAACAGAAGCGGTTTCAAAACTGAAAATTATTCAAGTATTTCATTGTTTTCATGGTGAAAATAAGAGTTGAATCTTGCTCATTTTTTTAGCGAACGTGTAATTGATAGCTTTTCTACCATGATATTTCCCGCCAATGTTATTTGCACTGCGTATGCGCAGGATAAAGCGTATGAACAATACTTACCATTGTATTATGTTCTTCGTTGAATCTATCGCCATCGTCGGTTTTAACCAGCACAAAAAAACGATTACAGGTTTCGAAGAAAATTTCTGTCATGCTAAAGATACTTATTACACCGTTGGACTCCAAGCCTTCGTTTAAAAGTTTCCCAAAAAACTTGAACACCAATTTGTTCAGTTGTGATCCCTAATGGAAAGCAAAAATCAGAAATGTTATAGTAGTTAAATATCCGCATAGTTTCGAGTGGAATTTGAAAAGGTAACCTGCATATACCACTTTAAGTGAAAGTTGGGCTGAGTTTTAGAAGCCCTTATACCGATGGCGCATGAAGCCGAAAGGCAAGTTAAATTTGAGGACGTCAATTGGAAAACTTAGGAGTGATTCTTTTCTTAAAATGCACGACAATTCATATATACTTTTATCTTTATAATATTCCAGATCTATATAAATGAGACATGATTCTTTATGAAAATAAATTTTCGAACTTTGGCTTTGCATCGAATTAATTTTTTGCACCGAATCACGGCTTTTGACGCGTACTCGCATTTTTGGGGCTGGATCACATTTTATGGCTTAGAATCATGAGTATATAGCATGCCAAAAGATCACTTTAAAGTCACGTCAAATTTCGATAATGCCAACAATTTATTACTCCCAGTGATGCCAAATTTGAATAAAGTAAATTATATAGTATGCAGCTCACGCCTTTTTTAGTCTTCCAAGAAACCTCTACAACTTCCTGGAATTATACCCAATTACTTCCTGGAATCGCCAAAGCGACCGAACAGAACAGCTGAATAAACATTCAATTGCAGGACTGAGTATGTAAAGTCTAGTGGTAAAATCAAAATAGAATATTTTGAGCTTTTTTCTCCAGAGGACCTGGTCGACAACGTAACATAAATGCTGTTATATATGAGGTAATTATATTTTCATACATATATTGTAGTAATTCGCTATTATTACTAAAATTTGCCGAGTATGGATTTTGTTGCTATGGGATGTTTAAATATATGCATGGCCATGCAAAGTCCAATGGAAATGGTGTATAAAATTTCCATGTTAAAAGCTGGTTTCCAATGCCAATGGCATATTCTTTTGTGTTGTATCTGTTCAATTACATGTTAAATCTAAGTTGTATATATAGTATAAACTAATGTTAGTTTTTAAGCTAAAACAAAGTCAGTGACAAAGTGAATTTAAAGCGACAAAGCTCTTTGGCAGAAAGCTATGGTCTATATGCTTTTATGAAACCTGACTAAAGTGACAATATATGACCATGTTACTTGTTACTTGGCCTATAGGAAGGCTATAGATATTGAGAATTGAGAAAATAGAACAGGCAAGGCTATCTATCAATTTAACTTCGAAATTGTGTAAATGCAAGTTTCAATTCTGTTATGGTCTGATTATGAAACTGAAAGGAATACCTGGAAATTGACTCATTATAAAGTCACTTCTTGGAATTCGCACAGTAGGAGGCAGTAAAATATTATCAACTAGATTTAGAATCTATCAACAAATATTTTAGCTTATTTTAGGTTGAAAAATATCCTCAACTATTTTAGCATTAGAGCAAGAACGAAGAGTTCATGAAGGCAAAACATATATTAAACACACTATTAATCAAGAAACTAATTTTTATATAAAAACAGCTCCATTGACATGCATTTACAGTACTGACTCAGTCATACCTGTAAATACAGTATATGCATGTTAACATGATATTTTCATATTGTACGTGCAGTAGAATAAGTATTCAGCAACAATATAAGTATATAGGCTACTATTACTGTATATGAATTAATTAACATTGATATAGGCCTATGTTAATTATTATACGAATATTGCATGATATTATAATTTATATATGGAAGGGTTTAGACTTTCTAAGTTTTGACCTAGCTTAAGGTTTTAACTAGCTAGCGTAAGCAAATGCAATATTAAGGTTTATCTATATGACAGGAACACATTAAAATGATGGCATAAAAAATGCAAACTCCATTTGTCCGTGAGCAGACAATTTCGCGAGATGTAAAATCTGATGAAACTCACTTCGAATATTTATTTATAGCTAACATCTTGTATTAAAACTCAAGATTCGAGCCATTTAAACAAGGTTTCCCTCTTTATTTTGATGTTAAAAAATTGTTTTGTATAACCTCAAATTCCTTAATACTTCTAAACTTAAGAGTTTGTTTATCATTACTGAATGCGGAGTGAAAAAAATTACTAACAGCATAATGTCTACAACAAAATGCCTTTCGGCTTCTCTTTATTGCAAATTAATTTGTTCCGATAGATGTATAGCTAAATTTACCCGCAAACACGTCTTTGTTGTCTTACAGCTTTGATTTAAATCTAGTAAAATGCCTAAATTTAGTGTAATTTACGTCTATATACTTCATCGTTCTAAAATTTACGAAAATTTTCGATTGCGTGGAAGGGAATAACCCGGCCATTTTTAATTCTGTATGGTGACAAATCTTAAATATTATTGGAAAAGCTAGGCGATTTTCCCCATAAGTTACATCGTAAATTTGGCTAACAAGGAACCCGTCTAAATGTACTTATATATAGATTACTAGATTCCTTTACTTAATACAAGTGTTTTTAAACAACGATAACTATACAAACAACTTATTGATCATATCTATCAAATATATAGTGTCGTAAAAGGAAGAATATAGGCGTATAAAAATCATGATCTATTTTATCTTGTGTATATATGGCAACTATATATACGTATATCCAGATTGAGATATAGAAAATGACTTCTATACCGTCATATTTTCAAATCTCAACTTGTAACAAATATGTAGCAATTATTCGTTTACAAAATAGTTACATATATAAAAGACGACATACCGATAGCTTCTCCATTTTGCTTTGTAGGGAACGCCAAAATGCCAAAAATTCGGATGAATTTTGTTTTTGACATTTGCCGTTTAGAATTTCTTTGAAGCTAGTATACATCTCTTCTGCATTCGTACCATCAAATCGTTCACCAACCAAAGTTATTGCTGCTAAACTAAGCATACTGATTCCTTTTTGACCAATTTGTGGTTCAATTATTGCTTTGCTATACGCAGCAACAGAGAGCGGACATGGATTTTCCTTGAACTTCGTCGGTTTATTTTCTATCGGTGCTGACATTATGTCAATGGTGAATAGTCCTGTTTGAAAGTTTATTTCTGTAGTAAATTTTTAAATCGCACAAATATAATGTTAGCTCGTTGAAGACCCACGAACAATAAACCAAATACGTCATTTTCACGAATTATTATACTATAGGTTGATATACCCCATCGGGGAATATATGGTGCATTTTGTCATGCATATAAGATTCATGTATAAATTGTGACATGCTTTATTGTTATTATTTTTCGATGTACAATATTTTAACAAATAGTTATAATATATTTACAAATCGGATAAGGCTATATAGAGACCTGTACTTAGAATCAAACCTTTACAACAATTGCCTTTTATATTTAGTTCACTATAGAATGTAGATCATTCCAGAGCATAAACGCGCGCGGAGCGCGATAGGGCGAAGCCTTCATGTGCGGAGGGTACTAACTCCGCTCGGCTTCCACTAATCGCACCTGGTGGAAGGAAAAGCATTACCACAGAATAAAGATCCACACAGAAGGGCCACTTACGTCGGAAGCTTTGAAATTTCTGAGGCGCTGACCGCCATCTTCCTAGCCAGTCGATTACATTTTCTGGCCAATAAACGCGCCGTATTGGCTGGAGGCCCCGCCTTCTGGCCAGTCAACTGCATATTTTTGCATAATAAAATGGCTACACGTTGCACGCTGAGTGACCCTTCTGGTACTGATCTTTATTCTGTGGCATTACGAAGTCTAAAGTTCATCGATAATTGCGGGCGCATGGCTATGCATGGGTGGTCACCCCACTGATCTCAAAAATATAATTGTTTTCCAGGAGTGAAAAAACCCAAATATTAATAAAAAACATGACAGAAATCGTGCAAATCGTTTCGCACAATAAGTTGTAAATCACCTTTCTCAAATTTTAAAGAAACAATATAAGTATGAGAAATCCTGGAGGCTGAAGTATAGCGTAAGCAAACTTTTACTGTGTATGTATACGCCTTAAGCTGTTCATTTTTCGCCTGAATTATAAGTCTGAACATGCACATCTTTCCTCTTTATTATCTGGAAGTTTCTTTCACTTAACTTGTTTTAATTTCATATAAAAGCTCAAAAAAAGGAGTCAAATTATTTTCAAGAACAACTTGTATTATTTAAATTTATTTCATTTGATCAAAGTACGAGTAATAGGTTGAAGAGCTTATCAGCAAAAAGCAATTAATTTCAATGAACATTTAAAAACGTTTAAATGTTCATTGTTTAAATGTTGAATTTTACATTAGCTATAATAAAGCTCAAAATAACATACCTATACTTATATATTTTAGAAATCGGTCGTTATGTGGTTAAAAGTGTAAAACATTGATTTAATTTTGCTGTTTTGAACAAAATAAAAGAACCAGTGATTGTGTTGCCATGACTAACACGATGACGCGAGCCTGCGTTCAGTGTTGGCGTAATTAATTTAAGAACGCATGAACGAAAAAACAAGAAAGTTCATTAGAAAACCCATTTACCTACTAAAATTCTAATAAAAGGTTTTTTGATGTGATCACCGACTCTAAATTAGACTGCAAATACAATGTTAACTATATTTTTATCATTGTAATGTGGTCTGCGTTTAGGCAAAATATTTTAATTGCAAAACCTGGCTATATTCACTGTAGTGTTGTTTAGTCAAAGCTTTTTCATTTCGTTTTAGTCTAGTTTTTTTTTCAGCAATTTGTTTTTCATTTAGTTTAAGTTTAGTTTTAGTTGAGCAATTAATTTTGCACTTAGTATTAGTTTAGTTTTTGTTGAGCAATTGATTTTTCATTTAGTTTAGTTAAGTTTTTAGTAGTTTGTTTGTTATTTAGTTTTAGTTTAGTTTTTGTTTAGCTGTTAGTTTTAGTTAAATTTTTGTTAGTTAGTTTGTCATTTAATTTTAGATTAGTTTTTGTTCAGAAGTTGTTCGATCGATTAGCGAATAATTCTAATTAGGAAATGCATTTTTGTAATTGTGCTGTAATGGCCGGCAGCATTACTGATCCCGAATGAAGCCCACTGATATAAATATCAGTGCTCCTTCCGTAAGAGGGAGACTTCATGTAAGATTCACTTAAGAATTTTAGTTTTAGTAAAAACTGTAAAATTTTAGTTTAGTTTTTCTATTCTCTGACTTTATTTGTTTAGTTTTTGTTTAGTCATTCTGGGTTATTACTTGTTTTGATTTAGTTTTAATTAAGTCTTCATTTCCAAATCTGGTTTAGTTAGAGTTTAGTTTTAGTCAACTAATATACTTTAGACTTGACTAAAACGGGGTTTTAGTTTTAGTTATAGTTGACTAAACAACACTAATTCACTATAAATCTGGGAGTGTTAGCCTACCATGCACAACACGAAAAATCGGTGTAAATTCTTGCAGTTGTGTGGACACCGATTTTGTCACTGAATTTGTTGTCAAAGTACACCTTTTCAATAGCTGCAGCCGTAGTATGCAGGGTCATTGACAATGCTATAGTGCATGAGCCATCCTCAAACACTTTACATACAAATTACCTGACGAGTTGACGTTCTTAATTTATACCAATTACATCTTGCTATCCTAGTGTCTCTATGTTTTAGTGCATAAAAGATAAATGTATTTTATGCACTAAATGTAACTTAATGTACTTTTAACAATAAGATTTGTAATTACAATTCTAGAAATCCCAGCAGGATTTATATTTTCAAGTTGATATAGACCAAGGACTTGGAAAACATTTTGTTTTAAGTGTCATTCTTGTGTTTTAAATTATTCCTATATAAAGTTCATTTTAGCGAATTTTTATTATGTACGTATATAATGTCTAATGATGTGAAATCTGTGAATTTGGTATTTCAAATAGTGTTGTCGGTACATTGTAGCATGTCAGGGAGGAAATAATTTAGGACTTTATTTGTCCTGTTGTCCGAGTCTTTAATTGTTATAATTGTAAAATTAATAAATAATATTAAGTAAGAAATCAAGTACTGTAATTCAGAAATAACTTTATTTTATTGTTGTTGTTTTGATTATAAATTTGGTAATTGAAGATCTTGTCATCTCTGACATCCAGAAGACCGCGATATGACTAATATCTTTGTTATTTCTTCACTTAATATAATTTCAATCAACGTTAATATACATTTTTACAAACAAATCACCCAATTGGGGCCAGTTTTGACAAACTCAAATTTAAAGGCTTAATGATGGTCTCCATTTACCCTGCAGCCTATATGTCTGCTCCTTTCGTCCCCTTTTTCTCACACTCTTGTAACCAGAAATTATATATTATGTAAAGTCAATATAGAACTCACTAAAAAGACCACCTCAGAATTAAGTATACAAAGTCTGAAGACGTTTACATGAATACCCTTCGAATAATAAGCTTTCGAAATTAAATTGTGAAATTGCTTAAAAGATTGTTTTGGGACGCGCGAGACGCGCGACCCCCCCCCCCAAAAAAAAAAAATTACAGTGCATTTCATAGTAAATATCGCGATTTTTGAAAGCTTATTATTCGAAGGGTAGTGATGTAAACGCCTTCAAACTTCGTATACTTACTAATTTTGGGGTGGTCTTTTTAGTGATTTGGTTCATGTCATAATTTGGGCACTTTTTAACACTCGTCCTCAGTCTCCTCATCAACTTCAGAATGGCTAATTTTACATGTTACGCCCCATTCTCGTACCCAGAGCACTTCTTACGCGCGGTGCGACAAGGGGCTCTGCCCAAACCGTATCAAACTGGCATCTGATTGGCTACAACGAAGGTTATTGTTCTAATACCGGATATATTCCTGTTACCATGTTTTTATGGTATCCGGTTATGGATTTGGCCAGAGCCCCTCGTCGCAGCGCGTAAGAAGGGCTCTGGGTACGAGAATGGTTACGACCAGGCCATGAATGTCAAATTCGAGCCTTGGCATAGATTTTGAATTTCTAGTGGCCTATTTTGAATTTCTAGTGGCTAAATCGACACTCGGACACTTTAAATGGATGACACTACTGTATATATAACAAATTGTCAAATTGAATGTCATGCAATTGGTTGAAATTGTCCTCTGAATTTCTTCTTTTATCTAAATTATTACAATTGTATGTATTCCATTTAATAAGACAATAGAAGATTGCGAGAGATACAACTATACCTATGTCAAGCAGAATACTTTAAAAGATCTGCTTTTGTTTTTCAGGGATTCTTGACTTGCAATCAAGTCCTTGAGAATTAGAAGACATTTGCATGGCGGCCACGTTGGTGCCAAATTCAAAAGAAGTTAATGAGATTTTTTTGTTGAAAAGGGACCAACATGGCCGTCGTCCACATCATTGCAAGTCAAGAATAGTTGCATATCTCACATTCCGCAGCTATTGCATTATCGTCTCTACACCTATACACCGGCAGGATATCGTTCAAGATTATATTCCATGTCCAGGATACATATTTCTCATATAGGTATAAAGAATTCCAAATATTTTACCCCGAGGAATTCCAAGCCTAAACGCCTTATTCCTAAGAATTTCCAAGCACAAGATACCTTAACTGCTCTGAGGGATTCCAAGCCCACAAATTCGTCTATACTGCTGACGAATTTCAGGCCAATTTCGCATCTTGCCCTGTCGAATTCCAGCTACCATCGCCAGGTGTGTGCCGTGGATATTAAATGGAATAGCCCAAGTTGAGTCTGACGTTAGCTAGAAAACAATTCATCAAGATTCGATACAACAAACAACACAGGGAAAAAATTTATTGTTTACATAAAGCTCTTTTATACAGAGCTTCTATACTGAAATACTTAAATTAAAGAAAAGTTAATAGTGCATGCATCAGGGCTCGAATTTTATCGCGGCAATTGCTGCCGTAGAGGGAGAACAAAATGCCGTGGATCATTGTGGCAACGACGGCAATTTTTTGCCGTATAACGCCATTGCCGTCGATTGATTTCAGGGAAATTCGAGACCGTGCATGATGATGCATGCATGCATGTGAAACTCCGAATAACTATATGTCTAAACTGGGTATCCATATAACATATATGTCAGAAAGTGCGGTCATTATAGGTAAAAGTTAGTGCTTTGATTGACAAGAAAAAAGCTAAATAATTTTACAAATGGACCTCATGAGCAACAAAAATAAAATCAATTCGCAAAATTTTTTGATAAACAGAAAGCGCTAAGAGGGTCCTGAAGGGGTAAAATGGGAACTGTGATTGATCTATTTTTAGACTGGGAAAATGGGATTTGGGTTGCTGGGACTGGGATTTGGTCACTGGGAATGGGAAATGAAGTCCTCAAAAATGGGAATGGGATTGAGGTAATGCGAGTCGACTCCGATCCGTTTTTGGTGTCTTTGGTCATGATTTTTGTTGTTAACTATATTATTCGCAGCACTACCTGCGAACAGGCATACTCTGGCGCCCGGATTTCTGGGTTTTTTGATTATGCGTGTCTCTGCAGAATGCTGCAAATGCCATGGGATTGGGACCCCCCCCCCTTTCAGGACCCTCCGCTAAGAATAATAGGTGCATGCAAACTGCAGTCTAAAGTAATGCAATTAGTTATCTTGATTAATATGTGTCTTTTGATTAGCTAATCAAGCTATGTAATAAAGTTCTGCCTATTTTGAGCTTTCTATCCGAAATTGTTATGGTCCATCGTTGTTATTCATTATTCACAATTCTTGTCTCCCAGCCATGTCTTGGCCTCTTGTCAAAACATCGATTTTTCGATAAAGATTGGCAACAAGCTCTTTATAATAGTCGATGATTCCTTTTGCTTGGTTAGATAAGCCTGGCCATTGTGGATTTTCCTGTTAAATTAAAAGGAAAAAGTTCCTTGAATATTTGCGTGATAAAATAATTACACTTGTTGTGTTTTGCAAATATGATACGTGTTTTAGTATTTTCTAAATGCGCTTATGCATGATGTTTTACACAATTACGACAGCACATTTGGTAAATATTATATCAACGTATAACAAGCAGGTTGTACTTTGTATAGCTACGACAAATTGCTCCAAGCTCTTTTCAAACTTGAGATAAAAAAGATTCGGGGCGGTTATTTCAGTGGTCAAAATCTAGGCAGGATGGAAAAACGGAACGGTTGGCCTCATGCGCACATGATAAGTGCGACATTGGAGCCTAAACCTAACTTAATTAAGGCCGTTTTCTACTCGTGTTGTTTCCTGACTACTATAGAATGGAAATATAGTGACTCTGACACAACAAATGCTACGATACGTTGCGACACGGTTTAAATGGAAAACACCCTTTAGACGTTGTCTGTATACTTGGAATTTGCCATTGGAAAGGGAAATTCTTTTCACGATTGTATTTTTTGGATGACAAAGATATGAAATGTACTGTATAAATTAAATTACAGTCGTGCCAATAGAAGCATTCCGAAAAATGTTGACCAGTTCATTTCCTAACTTCGAGGAGTTCCTCTGAACAATTCCTCAACAATTTGATAAGTTCCTTAAAACGTTCCTAACTTCCTGTTTCATTGACCAATCAGATTGCTCAAAAATAAAAAAAAAAATTTGATTGGTCAACGAAAAAGGAAGTTAGGAACTTTTTAAAGAAATTTTCAAAGTTTTAAGGAATTGTTCAGAGGTGTTCTTTCAAGTTAGGAAATGAACTGGTCAACAATTTTCGGAACGCTTCTATTGGCGTGACTGTAAATAAAATAAATTAAGAACATGTTTGTTATTGGGAAACGAGAAACACATTCGTGTGTGAAACATGGGGATACTATAGCAAAAGTTTCTTCTGTGCTTAAACATACCAACGTCTCTAAAATGATGTTAGGCCTTCTGGCGTCCATTGCCTCATATTCTTGCAACTGTTCTAATTGGTGTTGAGTTTGCATAAACAGCATTCTCTTCATGTTTTCCAGTTTAAGAATTTTCGCCTCAAGCTTCTCGATTTTTTTCATCAATTTCTTGTTTCCCTTTGTGATTACTTCCAACTCTTGATTGTGTTTTTCCTTTGTTTTGACGAGTTCCACATGCGAAAGAATAAAATGATGTAAATTAATTAAGGTGTTTTTGCTGTCTGTTAATTTGGATCCCGAAAGATTGTGTATGACTTAGATCCCAAGAAATTAGAAGCTATATGTGGATGGCCTTCCCAAATTAGCAACAGTGTCAGTAAGAGTCTCAAATTGATTCATGTTTCAGCTTTTGTTTTGGCTTCGAAAGTGCTTCATATCTAGTTTCTTAACTCTTTGGTTAAATATAAATTCTTCCGAAACTTTTTGCTTACCTTTAATCGGTCCTTTTCGGCTTTGAGTTTGCTAAGCTCGTTATCTTGTTCTGGATTGCCGTCGTTTGCTTGCTGTCTTGCTACAGAACACGAGGTTTGTGGCGATGTCACTGGAAGCTATAAATTAGGACCATTCAAAAAATAAAAACATCGCTAATAACTGGATATAATTTTTGGTCTACAATTTAATTGGAATAAGGTGGTGCATTACCTAAGTATAAATGAATAAATTATTAAATCTTGATCGAAAATTTGCTACATGCATGATATATGGGAATCTTGGGCATGTGAAAGCGTTGAAGAAGCAGAAGTTGCATTCTGATCGAATGTGCCAATTCTTGTTTAGAAAAGGATCTATATATACCTGAAAATATTATACTTGAGATGTTTTGTGATAACAGTCTAATGCAATGTATATGGTTGACTTTGAATGTTCCTCTAGAATTCCTCCTCATTTGGTTCCTTATTTTTAAATATGTTTTCTAACCGTACGTCATGCGCATCGTAATCAGCTACCAATTCCAACGTAATCAGCTATCAAGTCTGAATATTAGCCCAAATATTGGCCCAATATGTAAGACGTATAGTGTTTCCACCAAACCCCCCAATTATAGCTATAGTTTCGCGTTTTATGCAAAATCTTCCCATTACCTTCTTACATAGTTTACTATCCTTTTTGGGCTTCTTAGTGGTCTGTCCTCCACATGCCCCATCTATTTTCACGTCTCCCAAAAAATCCGTTTCCTCTTCAGAAGACGCCGAAACCTTTAACAAATAATGAAATTATTTTAGTCCGAAAAACGCCTATAACCTCTATGGGATAGCCCTTTTGGTCCTTAGGCTTCATGGAGAAAAGCATCTAAACATTGCGAACTGAAGATGTGTAGTTAGAATAGTTAGTACTGCAGTTTATAGTTTTAGTTTGGGCCAACCAAAGCCAACCACACTAAACACACAGATTTGTTCGGGATTTCCACGCTTATTTATGGTAACATTCACCCGATGCATAGAAACAAAAATACAAAAACGTTCATTATTGTATCCATCAAGAGCATCATTCCAGCAGGTTAACAAGACGGAATAATAATAATCTTAATAATCTTTATTTAAACTGTGAGACCCATTCAGCTAATTAAAGCTGGTCTTATCCGGGTGAACAGTATTTACAGTTATGGAATACTTACATATACATTTATATACAATATTGCAATAATCAGTAAAAATTACAAACTACACCTATGTGTAGAATTGTCTAATTCTAAAAAAATGTTTAAAAGCATTGATTTTAAAGCTGCCGAGAACTTTAATATCTCTGATACATTTCGGTAGCAAGTTCCAATCACGTGCTGCAGCAACTTTAAACATAGTTTGCCCTAGTGAGGTGTTTACTCTAGGTATATCTATCAAAGTTTGATCACGGAGGGATTTTTCTCTTAATGAGCTTCTTAAGACCAGATAATTGTTAAGATACTTAGGAATGTCCATATTATTGACAATTTTAAAAACTAGAATATTCCTTAGAAATCGTCGTCTACTGTGTAGAGTTAAGAGGTCAAGACGATTTCGCATTTCTTGCGTACAGGTTGTTCTATTAGCACACAAGATTGTTCTCATAGCTTTATTTTGGATTTTTTCAACTCGATTAGAGAGAACAGACCCGCAATCCTGCCATATGATTGAACCATAGTCGATAATAGGCAGGATTGTTTGTTTGTAAATTTTAAGAAGAACAGCTGTAGGTAAAAAGCTTGAAACACGATTTAGTAATTTCATTTTGGGATAAGATCTTTGGCATAACTGATCAACATGAGGTTTCCATGATAGGGTATTAGTCATTCGAACACCCAGATAATCGAACGTGGTTACTTCTTCTATTTTGTTGTTAAAAAGATGTATCTGTATATTTTCAGCTTCAGCCTTTCTAAGAGCAGGGCGCGAACCGATTAACATTGTTTTGGTCTTTTTAATATTCGCAATCATTCTATTCGCCTTCAACCACTGTTCAATGTTTTGAAGATCATTGTTTTTTGCTGTTTCAGCACCATGTACGGAAAAGTGGGAGCAGTGCGCTTCAGAATCATCAGCGTATAACTTTGTAGTTTCAGAATGAACGAAGCAGTCCGCGATCGAGTTGTAGTATACACTGAATAACGACGGTCCCAAGACAGAGCCCTGGAGCACGCCCGGTGATCTTTCTGGAATAATAATTACTTCGCTATAGTCCAGGTCACTGCAGATCTATCATAGAAATTTCTAGCACGTGCATGTAATAGCCACTGCTAGGGATGACTGCATGAGTGACCATGCACTTGCAGTACAACTGTAACGCCAGGGACGCTCAATTCTGACTAATCAGAATATGAGAAATTCAATAACAACTCTAACTTTCCTCAAATTAGGAATGCCTTTACAGACGTGTACGGAAAACAGTTTAAAACAATAAATCTATCCATTATTTAATCTATCCAAAAAGTATTATTTTGATATATCTATCATAATACTACAGCTTCGGATCTCTCTTTTTGAGCTCTCTGCAGCGGTTTTCTTACAAGTAAAACTATTGAATTGAACCAAATTTTAAAATAAATCATTACCTTACTCTGCCTTTGTAATGTCTTAGCTTTCTTCTCCCCACATGATTCATGTGCCTTTATCTTTTGCATAAAGAATGTTTTCTTTTCAGCGTCAAACGAAGAATGCTATAAAAATAACATAGTGGAACATTGTATAGTGCTTTCCAGTGTAAATAAATTTTCAATGGTGTTTTAGTTTCCCTAGTAACCAATTTAGTTTAAAAATAAGCAACATGCAGCATCACCTTGCTCAGTGTAATCTCCCTCTGTGGCTCATTATTGTTCTCTTCAGATACTCTCCGCGTCTTTGTCTCTTGGAATAACGAGTTTCCCTCTTCAGAAGACAACGGACCCTAAAAGTTACATCCTTATAGAAATTGGCTCTCATTGTTTGAGAGGGACAACAATATAAAATAGAATATGGGGTAGGTTCCAGTATATTAAATAAAAGCAAACTCACCATTTTTCTCAGTCCACTGGCTTGCTGCGGTCCCTTGCAAGATTTTTCTCCACATGCCTCATGTTTCTTTGTCGCTTTGGGCAAAACTGGTTCCCCATCAGACGACAACAAACCCTAAAATTTACATGGTTAGAGACTGACCTTATTAGCGGATCGGGACAACAATTTGAAAATAGAACATGGTAGTGCTTTCCTATATAAATATAAGTCTCTAATGTAGTTAACTTGAGATGTTTTGTTATAACAGTCCAACACAATGTATGGTTGACTTTGAATGTTGCTCTAGAATACCTCCTCATTTGGTTCCTTATCTTTAAGTATGTTTTCTAACCGTCATTTACCAATTCCAACAAGTCTTATACAAACTTGTACTGATGACTATAAATATTGGCTAAATGAAAACAATTATATAGTTTCATGTTGTATGCAAAAGCTTCCCATTACCTCCTTACACACTGTACTATACTTTTTGGGCTTCTTAGTGGACGTCTGCAATGCCCCATCTATTTTTACATCTCCCGAAAAATCGGTTTCCCCTTCAGAAGACGCCGAAACCTTTAACAAATAATGAAATTATTTTAACGCGTAAAAATCTCCTATAACCTCTATGGGATGGCCCTTTTTTATCCTAAGGCTTCAAGGAGAAAGACATCTAAACATTGCGGACTGAAGATGTTTAGTTAGAATAGTTAGTAATGCAGTGTATAGTTTTAGTTTTGGTTTGGGCCAACCAAACACAAAGATTTGTTTTGGATTTCCACACTTATTTCTGGTAACACTCGCCAATAGCCGGTTCCCCTTATTACGTATTCTGAATACAACTACCATGATACTTTGCGGGTATTTTCTTCATTATGAAATAACATGTCCGAAAAGCATGCTGGTAGTTGTATTCAGAATACGCAATAATACGGCTATTATCCCATCAACCGATACATAGAAACAAAAATACAAAAACGTTCATTATCGTATCCATATAAATTATCATTCCAGCAGTTAACAAGACTGATTCATAATTACTCTGCTATAGTGCAGGTCACTACAAGTCTATGGTAGAAACAACAATATACTATAGAATAGAACATGGAGTGCGTTCCAGTATATTAAATAAAAGCAAACTCACCACTTTGCTCAGTGCACTGGCTTGCTCCCGTCTCTTACAAAACTTTTCTCCACATGCCTCGTGTTTCTTTGTCTCTTTGAGCAAAAATGTTTCCCCATCAGACTTTAACGAACCCTAAAAATTACATCGTTAGAGACGGGCCTTGTTGCGGATAGGGACAACAATTTGAAAATAGAATATAGTAGTGCTTTCCCGAAGTTTCTAATGTAGTTAACTATAGTTTGACTCCAAACCAATTTATACTAAATAGAAGCAATTGCAGAGAACAAATTTAAAGTAGAACATGATAGAGCTTTTCGGAATAAATATGCTTTTAATGTAGTTTTAGTTAGACTTAAAATTCAATTTGTATTAAATATTACAAGCAACCTCGTTACCTTGCTCAGTGTACTTTTTTCCTGTTGTTTGTTGGTCTTCTTTTCTCCACATGCTTTATGCTTCTTTGTGTCTTGCCACAAAGATATTTCCTCTTCAGAAGAC